TATAAAGGAAAATCTTCAGGAAAATATCAGCTTTGTGAAAGAAAAGTTGGCTATCCTGTTGTCATCATACCATAAACAATTTCGTGGATTGGCTTTTTTTGGTAACTCTGAATGTCTCGATTTGCAGTTCACAGATTTCAAAGATTCCATCTTGCAGTTAGAAGAAATCCTGCGTAATGCATGTGGCTATATTCTTCAATTGCTGGCGGAGAAGAAAAATCTAGAAAGTGAAAGAGTCAACACTGAGATGTCCTTGAGCACTGCCAGGTCAGAAATTCTGGCAATGAAGCAGAGATTCAAAAGTGCGATGCAGGATATGGCAGCTAAACTAGTTATATCAAATGCCCTTGTGGATAACCTTCAAGTTCAATTTGAATCTGTTGCCGACAAATTCCACCTTACTTCTGAAATTGAAGAAAGGTCTGCATGGCAGACCAGAGAACTTTTGGACTATCTAGCTCTATTACAAGATCAGATGCAGGAACTGACGTCTACAAATGGTCACATTGCTCGAGAAATGGCAGGCTTGGAAACACTGGCTGGGGAACTCGGGAGCAATAAATCAACCATTGCAGAGCTAATAAAAGATAAGCAAGACCTCATGGTCTCCTTGCAGGATAAAACTGGTGAATCTATCAAGCTTGCATCTGAGATTAGCTGTCTGAAAGAAAATTTGAGAAATTTGTGCAACGAGTTACTAATTGAAGATGGTTTCAAAGATGAACTAGAGGGAAAAATCCGAGATCTTATGTCTCAGTTGAACAAGGAGCGTGACAAATTGATCAATTTTGAAGAGCAAAAAACTGAACTCACGCACTTCAGGCAAGTGGCATCTGATCTTGAAATGGAAAAATCAAGACTCTGTCGCCTTTTGGGGCAGCAAAATGGGCTCATGGAAAAGCTTCAAAAAAGTTTGTCTCATACAACTGATCTTGAAAGTCATTTATTTGAAATGCAAGATTACGCAATTGTTGCAGATGTTAAACTTGCTTATTTTACAAACCAATATGAAACCGTACTTGAGGAACATGTGCAGAAATTTGAAGGAGACATGCAGGATATGGCTGCTAAACTAGTAGAGTCTAATGCCCTTGTGGACAGCCTTCATGTTCAAGTCGAATCTGTTGCTGATAAATTCCACCTCGCTTCTGAAATTGAAGAAAAGTCTGCTCAGCAGAACAGAGAACTTTTGGCTGATCTTGCTCTTTTACAAGATCAGATGCAGGAATTGATGTCTAAAAATGGTCACATAGCTGAAGACATGTTAGGCTTGGACACTTTGGCTGAGGAACTCGGGAGGAATAATTCAACCATTACAGAGCTAATAAAAGATAAGAAAGACCTCATGGTGTCCTTACAAAATAAAACTGGGGAATCTGTTAAGCTTGCTTCTGAGATTAGTTGTCTAAAGGAAAATCTGAGAAATGTGCATGAAGAGCTACGTGTTGAAAAGGGCTTCAAAGATGAACTAGACGAGAAAATTGGAGATCTTATGGCTCAGTTAAACAAGGAGCATGACCGAGTGTTCAATTTTGAACAGCAAAAAACTGAACTGACTCACTTCAGGCAAGTAGCATCAGATCTTGAATTGGAGAAATCAAGACTTTCTCACCATTTGGCGCAGCAAAATGAGTTTATGGAAAGGCTTCGGAAAAGTTCTTGTACAAATGATCTCGAAAGTCAGTTGTTTAAAATGCAAGAGTACTCAACTGCTGCAGATGTTAAACTTGCTTATGTCACAAATCAATATGTATCCCTACTTCAGGAACTTGTGCGGCAACTTAAGTCTTCAGATGGGTGCCTCTTGGAGCTTCAGAAAAGGTATCATGATATGGAGGCTATGTTGAATCAGCACTTTGCAAGTGAAGCTCGTATGACTGAAGAAAATGCTAATTTGTTGGCCAGCCTTAAAACCCTGAGAACGGAATTTGAAGCCTCTGTAGCTCAAAACAAGCTTCTTTCAGATTCTAACAATGATATCAAGTATCAACTTGAAGATTACAAAAGGAAGTTGACAATGATGGAAACCAGTTTTTCCAAGGATAATTTACAAGCTGTTATGGTAGAACAGCTGAAAGACACTTTGGCCAAGGCTGAAGAGGATATCTGTCACTTGACATTCTTGAAAGGGGAATTGGAAATTTTGTCGATAGTACTCAAAGGCAAAGTGGATGAACAGTATGCTTATATGATTTCACTCGAAGATAATAGAGACGAACTCTTGATGCTTCAGTCCCATTGTAACGAGCTCTCGCACAAGCTTTCTGAACAGGTTATGAAGACTGAAGAATTTAAGAACTTATCCATCCATTTGAAGGAACTCAGAGACAAAGCTGAAGCTGAATGTTCCTCCCATGCTTGTGAAAAAAGAGAACCTGAAGGACCACCTGTTGTTATGCAAGATTCCTTGAGAGTGGCATTCATCAAAGAACAGTATGAGACTAAAATCCAAGAACTGAAGCTGAAGCTTTCTATATCCAGAAAGCATGGTGAAGAAATGCTTATGAAATTGCAAGATTCCATCGATGAAATTGAAAATAGGAAGAAGTCGGAAGCTGTGAACTTAAAGAGGAACAATGAGCTATCACTCAAACTCTTGGAATTGGAAACAGAATTGCAGTCTGTACTTACAGAAAAGCGTGAAAAAGTCAACGCTTATGATTGCATAAATGCAGAATTGGAATGTGTAGCACTGAGCCTTGAATGTTGCAAGGAAGAAAAAGAAAAGCTTGAAGCTTCTTTCAGAGAATGTGAGAGGGAAAAATCTCAACTTGTGGTTGAACTTGCCTCAATAAAAGAACAAGTGGAGAAGTTCAGATCTTCCAGCAGTTTTCAAAAGGATGAAAATGATGAGGTGGCTGAAGCGCTCAATGAGTTATCTAGAAACTCTTCCCCAAATTTCTTGTGCTCAATATGCTCAAAAGAATTGCTCACTACTCAGGTAGCAACTTACTGAAATAAGTTTTTACCACTTACTCTACAATATATGTCATGCACAAAGTAGTATTGATCTTGAGAACTATGATGCATGCCCAAGTAGAAGTTTTTCGACTTGATGTAATGAAGCAATAGAATGGAGTTCATAAATGTTAATTAGTCTCGAGTCAAAAAATCACCTCCATGGAAAAAAGCTTTTTTTGGTAATTTAGAACTTTAGGGATAATTATTGATGTTCTATTGTTACCACATATTCCTTCAACGTGATAAATATTTTGTGACTAAAGTAGTCATCTGCTATTATTTAACAGGATGCTGCATCCAAAGGCATGCGTGGGATTCCTGAGGTACTTGTTGGAGGTGAATTCCTGCAGAGCAATGGAAAGAGTTTAGATGGCAATGGCGATCATTTGGCAACCCAAAGACTGAAGTCTAGCATGGAGCAGTTGCATGAAGAGGTATTTCTTCCTATCAAATGATAAAATTACCGATACCACATTGTGACGCTAAAATTGCTGAGGATCCGTCCAATAATAATTATTGATGTTCTATTGTTACCACATATTCCTTCAACGTGATAAATATTTTGTGACTAAAGTAGTCATCTGCTATTATTTAACAGGATGCTGCATCCAAAGGCATGTGTGGGATTCCTGAGGTACTTGTTGGAGGTGAATTCCTGCAGAGCAATGGAAAGAGTTTAGATGTCAATGGCGATCATTTGGCAACCCAAAGACTGAAGTCTAGCATGGAGCAGTTGCATGAAGAGGTATTTCTTCCTATCAAATGATAAAATTACCGATACCACATTGTGACGGTAAAATTGCTGAGGATCCGTCCAATACTATTCTTGTCTTTTGCCTGNTAAAATTGCTGAGGATCCGTCCAATACTATTCTTGTCTTTTGCCTGCAGCTGGAAAGGATGAAAACCGGAAATACTCACTTTCTCAGAGATCGTGATTTTGATTTTCAAGTTCCACAAGAAGAACTTGTGCAATTACACAGGGTGAGCTTTCTGTCTTATGGGATTTATATTTATATTGCCTACAAAGTCTTATCTCCATTTCTTAATATCTCTTTGGAAGGTAAATAATGAGCTCAGAAGCATGTTTCCTTTGTTCGATGAAATCTCAATTAGTGGGAATGCATTAGAAAGAGTACTTGCACTGGAAATCGAGCTTGCTGAATCATTGAAGGCAAAAAATAAATCAAATGTCCATTTCCAGAGGTAGTTGGAATTTCATAGTGCTTTCAATGAATAAAGATTTTCCATTACAAATCGTAAATTAGAATTTACCATTTATCCTTTGTTCCATATTTTAGTTCTTATTTGAAACAACATGGCAGCGAGGAAGCTGTGTTCAAAAGCTTCAGAGACATCAATGAACTGATCAAACAAATGTTAGAAATCAAAGGAAGGCATGCAGCTGTGGAAGCTGAATTGAGAGAAATGCATGATAGGTACTCTCAACTAAGCCTCCAGTTTGCTGAGGTTGAAGGTGAGAAACAGAAACTCAAGATGATGCTAAAAAACGTTCGTGCATCAAGAAAGCTCGTAATCCCAAGTCAGTCCTCGTCTCTAGATCACCCTTCTTACGGGTGAACTAAGCCCCCGGATAAATCTTTAGAATATGTTATATTTAACTCGTGAGGTTCGATAGCTAAATGCAGTTCTCTGTAATGTAAATAAAAATGAGGTGGCCAAACATTTTTGCCAGGGTAAAAGGGCGGCTTAGATTTGTGTACTTTAAAAACTCTTTTTTTTACCTTACAGTCTTTTGCTCCTTTTACCTTGCCAAGTATTCTCGCTTCTCTTTGTTGTAACTAATTATGTATAGATAATCTATTGGTTCGATATATCATTCCTGTCTTGAAATAAGAATGTTGGACTTAAAATTAGATTCAAATTTATAAATTTGAATTGTTTTTCAATGATTTTTATGATTTTAAAACACACGAGTTCGACCTTTTATTCATACGCATCAAAACACAATATAGTACAAGTTCTGAATTTTGTTATACATACAAAAGAGAGCCAAATATACCAGTGACAAGTTCTGTATCATCTATTCTCAAGAAATCCTCGAGAAATTTTACAACCCAATCTCAAACCAATACACTTTGATTTTGCTCCTTTTTCTATTGAGTTCTTGGGCATCAACAATGTCAAAGCACTGAATCTATGAACAGGTAAACTTGGCGTCTCTACTTTGAATCTATTAACAGGTGCAACATTCCTAAATTCAATCCAGCAACCTCTAATCCAAACATTTCTGGAAGCACACATTTGTTAGGTAGCTTACAAGATAGAGCACGAACATCCACTTTTCATCATGGCATCATCCTTTAGTTTATCTGGGCATACAAAGCGAGATAACTATTAACAGGAGAAATAGAGCGAGAAGTCGTGAGAACAAGGAATAGAGAGGAACAAGGTTGCCAATAAGAAAAGGACTTGCAACATAATGGCATGTTCAATAGGGAAGATTAGATAATAGTGCTTGACAATATTTTAATGAAGAAAAGTACACTGAAATCTCGATTATTACTCTGTCTAATCCTATCTAGCACTATGTACCAAAGGCGTAGTAACAATGCAAATAGGTAGGGCAAGCCATCGAAAATGTTTCTTGTACATAACTATTTACGTAATGTTTTATATAATGATGAGGTGTCAAATTGTAAGTGAGAAAGTTATTTGATTGATGAGATTTTGATTCAACTAAATTTCGCCACATCATTTGTTGATAAATCATAATAATCATAATATAAGTTGTTATGTATATGTAGCACAACCGGCAAGCCATTTATCTAAAATGCATTGTGTGCGTGTGCGTGTGTGTTTGTGTATGCGTTCGGGCAATGCTTTTGCTCAAATACGTAAAATTAACTCAATGTATTGTGTTGTGAATTACCAGTATTTTTGTAAGGAAGAGGAGGACGCACAACAACATGCATAGTGATGACGCCTCCAGGAACTTCAGTGAGTGGCAATCGTGATTCCCTAAGTGTTCTGTTATTTTCCAGAATCATTCCCGCGTTAATAAGCTTTAAATCATTTATGGATTTTGGCCCATTTTCTTTGTCTGCAGTATGAATGATCTCTGTGAGGATATAACGCATCAACATATAAACCAAAGAAAATAATTCCACAATAATTACACTACTGAAATACTAAAAATAAAATGGATACTCCCTACGTTTTCTTTCATTTGTGCCTTCATTATAATCCTTAAGCTTATCGGATCATCATAACGTAAAAGAATGCAAAAAGAGCCTTGCTCTAACCAAACAGTTGCTAAATCGATGAAAATTCCTATCAACGGAAACATGTTCTGTGTTCATTGTAGCTGAGAGTTGAGTCAGCAGGAATGGAGAAAAACATAACTTCTAAGAATCATTTTGCTTTTCTTGTAAGCTAAGATATAAGAACTATAAGAAAATAGAAAGTGAATTCCTCAAGTTATTGACTAAGAAACTTAAACATTTGAAATTATAACTAAAAGACACATAAAGTCCTAGCCTACCATCGATTGTCGGACTGTGCAGCACCATAGAATATTAAGAAGCTAAAATTTTGTTCAATCCCGAGTACCATATATGTACTTAAAGGGAATTCATCTAGCAGTTATGTCCTGGACAGGAGAATCTTGATGGAAATGTTGGGAAACAACTAAAACCTAGAAACTGGCCAGCTTAAAATGAAAATTAATTAAAATTTCATATAAAAGAAAAAGGGAACCTAAGAAATGTTTCTTGATTACAGTGCACTAAATATTATAGGCAATTCAGGTCCCTAATGCTTCCCATTAGACCATGCTAAATTGCTAAAATGCCTGCACACAAATAAATCAATTTCCAACATACGAATCTGAACAATAAAAAAGAATCAGATAATCCTAAAATTTAGACAGAAGCTAAAGAAAACAAATTATGATATATAATTAACACTTGAAAATTTCATACTATATCATAAATCAGTGAAAAAAAAGAAAAGGTTTAAAACCTTTGGGCCATTGTGAAATTATCCTTTCTTTGAGAAATCCCACGGTTGTACTGGAACTGTATTTGATTGGTCCAATATCACTGCCATCATCAAGCCTGAATTTGAGCTCAACCAATTCTTCCGCAGCCATTAACAATCTTAATTACCTTAATTTCTTGTAAACGCACAAGTCAAATCAATTGCAGCACAACGTTAGACTAAAAAAAATCCACCCCTTTTCTTGTTCAAGAAAATTAAGGCTAAACCTAAACAACCCAGATCAATCAAGAAATACACAGAAACCCAATCTCCAAAATCAATTTGAATTCCATTTCAGGTACAGATCCTCAAGAACCAGATCAATACTTACAAGATTTGCAATGAATTTATGAAAAGGGATCAACCTATTAGAGCTTTGGAGGTTGAAAATTCTTGCACGAAATGGTAATGCGAATGGATTGATAATTGAATACTTGTCAGCTGCAAGAATGAGAAACTTATTGAGCTCTGAATTTTTTATAGAGGTGGGGTGGGGTTATAGAAATAAATATTTACAAGACTACAAAAATGGAAGGTTTCCAAGTAGGATTCTTTCTCTTGAACCAATCTAAAAAATTATGACTTTTTGATAGAGACAGACAGATTTTACTCGATTGAACAATTTGAAACTGAGCAATTTGACTGTATGAATTGCACTATGGCAGCTTCATCTTCCTACTAATTGTGTTCAAGACCCTCTACTTTGCAGCATTAAAGGCTAAACTTGAATCTTGGTAAAGGTTGATTGACAAAAGTAATGCTATTTGGTTTCCAATGGTTTTTCAATGGATTCGATTTAGTTTGCTGTTTGTATCAATTTAGTTTCTCCCAAAAACTAAGATCAAATCCATGAAAAAAAATAATAATAATAATAACTAATAAGAGGACCATTTTACAATGCGGCCATGTCTTAAAAATCTGAAGTTCAAATATTTACTAATGTACTAACTCTTTTTTTATATATATAACAATCCAGGGAAATATAATGTGCATTGCATAGAAAAAAGTTTTATATTCAAACAAATCTCAAGTGGCGATGAAAAAATACCTTTAACGGTATTAACAAAAAAAAAAACATTAAGCCCCCATTTAGAGCTCATTTTTTGAACAAAATCTCATTAATTTACAGTGAAAAATCAATAAAAATGTAAAAGTTGAACGTGATTTGTTAGAATTTAATTCCTCTTTATTGGAACGTTGATCGTGACTGAACAGACTTACCTCCCTTTTCTAAGTCTATTGTCTTCAGTTCACATCAATTTTACCACCGTAATGTCAAGGGCACAAATGTAAATTGATGACAAGTATGGGTGGAACACTCTTTACAATAGACAAATATGGGGGTTGTGGTTATCAGACCTAAACAATAATTTAATACGTGGAATCACGAAAAATGAAAATGAGATTGAAAATAATGGGATCAAACAAACGTTCAGAGTAATGTAATTCTTGAATCTTACGTAATGGTACATGTGCTATAACTTTTGTTCTTTTTTAGGATCTTAAATTTTTTTAATTATACCATCTCCTCGAGTTCCAGAGGATGAATTTGATAAACAATTCCACAATTTGTAGTGTCGTTTTTCAAGGATCTAATATTTAAATTCATATTGTCACAACGAATTTAGATCGATACAATCACTTAGTGAGATCGACTTTGACTTATCTAGCAGTTTAGAGTTAGGAATCTAGAGGCAGCCTGTTGCGCTAACGTGTCAATTCACATCTTGAGACGTTCGTCAATTATACCTTTAAATTGTCGACTCAAGTTTTTAGCTCATGTTTGGTTTAGCTAAAAATATTTATTAAAATTTAAGTTAAAATCAACATTTAATTTTAATCACAGATTTCATAGAATTCACAATTTTAACCACATATTTTATCAACTTTTATCATAATTAACTGCATATTAAGCTCCGATTTAGTAATTAATCATGAAATAACTTGCAGATTGATAGTCTAAGGGGTGGGTTTGGGGAGCTTAGGTATGAATTGGCCTACACGTTGGCACTGCCACCGCAAGCCCACAATGGTTTGCTTCCATACTACTATACGTACTGCACCCGGTCTCACCTACACATTGATCAGACTCCTTCATCACCATTGCTTCTTTCTCCTCCGTTAGATTTTCTTCTGTTTTCGTATGCTGTCCGTCAATTTCATGGATCTGATCATCATCATCATCAACAACAACTTCGTCTTCTGCATGCTCGTCGTCGTCAAAGGGGATTAAATTCAGTACAAGCCTCCCATTGAAACTGTGCGCTTCAAAATACTCTTGGCGCTTCACTTTTTCTTCTCTGATAATCAATCTCCCATCACTCGTGGAATACCTTTTCATCACCCACGGCATGTGAGATGGAAAATTTCCAGTGCGCACCGGCCATGGAATCGGCGGCGGATAAATTTTATCCGCTGTATCTCGATGCATAATCAGCCGCCGATTGTTTAAGCAATATTCCGGGCGGCGACATGTATCAAGGTCAGTTTTCATCTCAACACAACTCTCCACCCCAATGTAATCATCCAATTCTGGATTTGGCATAATGGAAAGGGGTTAATCCATTTGTACATAATGGTTTGTACGTAATGGATTATCCCCTCTCACATAATGTGTGGGATCCACGTGTATTTAAAAATTTCGACATGATCCAAATTCCCACGTGAGTAGTACATAATGGATTACCATCTCTCACATAATGTGTGGGACCCGCGTGTATTTAAAAATTCCAACAATGTGATCCAAATCCCCATTGTGAGTAGTAGGTAAACGAATCGGTAGAAAAATTCAGCATATGTAGCATGATCCTATATACTGCAGAATATTGAGAAGAGTGGAAACTGGCAATGACAGCTAATGTTGACCACCGATAATTACAGATTTGGATTTTAAAAAATTATAAATTTGGATTATCTCATTTTATATGGCAAAGTTATCTGCAAAAATGGGAAAAAATCAATTAGTTAAAATCGGTTCTTAAGGATAGAAAGAGATAATTGAGAGGAATTTTTCTTTAATATCAAAATTTTAATACATATAAAATGGAATTGTGTAATCAATAGAATATGTGAAAAATTTATGTCGAGAACATAATTAATATGTGGATAATGTAGGTTTAACAATTCCAAAATCGTCAAAGATTGACAGATCAATTAAAATGTTTTTAAATACACAACCAATTCATTAATCCACATTTTTGCACTTAGCATTGATTTATTTGGAGAAAAAACAATCATAGTTTCATGGAAGTACATTTTTTGGCCAACCATCACAAAAAGTTACGATTATTTATCTGACTATATATAGTTTACACAGCAAGAATATTTGCCATTAACAAACATAAATAGTAACTGTTAATATAGAAAGAATTTTTTATATATTAGAAATTAAGGGCATGTTTGAAGTAACTTTTTCGAAATAGATTTCGTTATGTTTGGTAAAGATTTTTTTGAAATAGTTTTTACTGTTATTTGACATAGATTATTCTGTTAGGTTTTTGATGTAATTGGCAAGTCTGTGAACAAAAATGACTAAATTTAATATGTTGTAAAAGTCAAGGAGTAAGTTGCAAATAGTAAAAATTGAGTTATATTAGGTCTGGGGTTCAAGAATGGAAAAGAAGGAAAAACGGCGCTGCAATTTCGCTAGACTGTCGCCATGACTTGGCTCGAGCGGCAAAAACGATAACATTGTAGCTAGCATGTCGCCAGGATTTCGCTCGAGCAACACACCGTCGCTCACATGTCGCCCAGCTTTCGCTTGAGCGACAGTGTTTCCCAAAAAATTTTAATTCGTGTTTTTAAAGTTTTTTGTCCGCACATTCAACCCCAAAAACTAAACTATAAATACCAAACGCTTCTGAATGGTTTTGATAAGGTTGAATATTGATAAAACATTGGTTGCTTCATATTCTCTCCATCCATAGCTTTCAACTTTCATTAATTGATTTGTTATTGGTATCGAAAATATCAAAACTACTTAATCCAAATACCAAGTTCCTTCTTCCTATATATCGTCAGAGTGCTGAAGATCAAGGGAAGGTGACTGGAGTTCCAATTATTGGAGAACGCGGAGTTCTTCGTTGATCCACAAGAGATAGACGAATTCATAAAGTCGGGAGTTGCTGCAGGAGCGCGCAATCCAGGAGGACTTTGAAAATTGCAGCTGGGAGTTGGTACAGAAGCACGCAATCCAGGAGAGCTGTGAAATTTGCAGTCTGGAGGTTAGAAAGTACTAGTGGTAGTCATGTCTGACTGACTGTAAGTTCATAATTCGTTAATAGTGGATTTCTGACGGCAAAGTGCCTGGAATTTTTACCCAATTTGGGTTTCTCCGTGATCATTCCTTGTATTTATTTATTGCTTTCAGAACTACGATATTTCAACATAGGAAAAATTGAAATGTTTGATTAACCATCTAGATATAATTAATAGTGACTTGTTGCTAATTAATTATTAATTTTTTATTCCGCATAATCACTTATTCACACACCCTCTAGGTGTAGTTTTGGTCGAACCTCGTTATTTCATATTCAAAACTCATTTTACCACAAATTCATTTCCAATCACATCTTCTCTCAATAAAATAATTTTGAATGTACTCATAATTCTCTCCAAAAATGTCACATTTTACAAAATTTATTTTCAAATAATCTAAATCAAACATGCCATTTGTAAGAAGTAATTTTTTTGGAGAATGTATAGTTAAAAACAAAAAAATAAAATAAAAAAGTTACGAATTCACATATAAAATTATATTATTAAGCCCTTGTTTGGTTTGGATTAAAATCTCAAATCAAAGTCAACAATTAATTTTAACCACACATTTCGTAAGATCCACAACTTTTCAACCACACATTTCATCAATTTTTATCAAAATCAACTTAAAATATATTTTTAATCTCTACCAAATTGGGGCTAAGATAATAAGCAATTAAAAATATGTGAAAAATGAACTTTAGAAAACAAAACCAAACGAGAACTTCTTGAAAAGTGATTTTTTTTAGAAAATATATGGTTAAAAAGTAGAAAAAAATATAAATTCATGTATTTATTTATTTATATATATATTTGAAAGAATGTATGACTAAAAATAAACTTTAAAAAATCTATACCAAACAAATTAAATGTATCATTTAGGGCTAATTTGAGGGGGGTAAAGGTAGGATGTAGTTGAGAATGTTGGCAATCGGTAGCTTTACATGTAGTTGGGTGAATGTTACACATCTGAGTCTGTGTACCACGTGTTATGATGTACAGATACCCCCACACAACCTGGTAGTGGTGGCAAACAGGTCGAGCGGCTCGTCTGTTTAGCCGCTCAGGTCGTGAAAAGTCGGCTCGTGGGCGAGTTGGACTCGTCAAATGGCAAGCCTCATGAATAACGAGCTGAGCAGAAACGAGCCACGAGCTCAGCTCATGCATACGGGCCGAGCCATCTCTACAACTTGGGACATGCAGGGCATGTACAAAAAACACAAGACATGTTGGTGATGTTGCACAGCGTGGCCGTGCCACAAACCAGGCCATGGATAATGGATCATGCCCGACCAAGCCCATGGCTATTGATATAGGGCTCATTTGGCATATTTAAAAGAGCTAGAAGCAGAGCTAAGGTCTTCTACAAGACGTAGAAGTAAAAGGGAAAATTAGGTCAAGTACCTCAAAAAAAAAAAAAAAATTGATTAATACTCTTAAAATTAAAACTATAAATCACGTAGTAAGTACGTCCAAATCTAACCCCCAAACCCATAGCAGATTGGAGAAAGCCCCAAAGGAGATAATGATGATTCATTCCACTCTATCCTCCACCATAACTACTACTTCCCTCACTCTTCCTTCGTCCACCTCCACCTAGGGCTGTCAATGGATTGAATTTTGATCTGAATCCGATCCGAATATGACGAAATTAATGAGAAATGGATTTAGGGTCTCAATCTGATAACCCGATCAAGATCCAAATCCGATAATCCGTTAACTAAATGGATCAAATATGAATATAGGTCAATCCAATCCGATAACAATCCGATCCGATAATATTTTTCTTAATTAAATTTATTATTGTAATTAATTTTACAATTTCAAAAACTAATAATTAATATGTAACAAATAATTTGATTTGTTTATAGAAATAATGAAATAAAATATTTATATTTAGAATTGAAATTCAATTTTACATTATCCTACATCGAATGTCAATAGAAAAATAGAAGATGGCTTCTCCTTTAAAAATTAACATCGTGATGGTAGAAGTCACTATTGGGCTTGTTAGGAAAAATAGGTGGGCCTCAAGTTAGTTCAAAATTTTTTTTCCTAATTTTTATTAATTTCAGATCGGATTATCGGATCGGATATCCGATAACATTGCAAATCGGATATAGATTTAGCAATTAAATATCCGTTGGATTATCAAATCGGATAAATTTTCTTATCGAATCAGATTCGATATTGGTAGATCTGATCCATATCCAATCCATTTACATCCCTACCTCCACCACTCCGTTGTCGCACAATCAAACAATATTAACCTAAATTCAAACCACCATAAAAACTCCACTTCTTTCCAACACCACCACAACCGTCACATCCTTTCCGTAGCTACATTTTTCTCCACCAGTAGTCACCTACCTCTTCTTCCTCATCAGTAGAAGTTCTCGACCACTTAGCGTGCCGTTCAACTCACCAATTCTATAAATTTGAGAATAAATGATAAATTTGGAAGTGCTTAGTGGTGAAGTGGTGGACGAAGAAAAACATAATGTAGTAAGTGAGGAGAGCATATCAGATTCACGAAATAGAGCATAAGTGGCAGCGATACTGGGAGATAACAAGACTTTTCAGATTCTTGATGAAATTGATACTTCCAAGCCTAAATTCTACGTTCTAGGCATGTTTCCTTATCCTAAGCTCGCTCGCTCTCTGTCCCTCTCAATTGTTTTAAGTGTGTGCGCAACACATTGACAAAGAAAATTTAATTGATGAGTAAAATTGAACTGAGAAGGAATATAGTAGTTAGCTTGGCAATGGTGAAGGCGAGGGCTTTAAGAATGACACTCGGAAATACTTTCCACACGCTGTTCCCAGATCAACATTGTCTAAACACAGAGTAAATCACATAATTAGTTTTATAAGTAGATCGTAAATTCAAAAAATATTCTCATTACAGGTGCTCCTATGATCAAGGGCGGACGCAAAACTTAAAAGTTAGGAGGGCACAATCGAACTTATAAAGAAGTTGGAAGAAATTTTACAATCGAAAATTTAAGTCCAAAAAAATCATACTCCATGTAATTTTACATCCGAAAATTTACATAAGATACGACTTTTTCGGATGTAAAATTTCGAAAATTTTTGATGTCATATTCCATATAAAAGTTCCTAATAAAATGATGAAAATTACATTGAGAAATTTGTATCGTAAAAATAATAAATGTTAATGAAATAATTAAATTTTTTT